GCTTTTCTAATTTCCTCCCTGCAGGACCTAACAAGATCCCTTGTCCAAGTTCTAGCATTATATTCAGTAACAACTATGTAAAGCAACCCAGGCTGGAAGTGATCTAAGCTGCTGTAAGTACATTAATAATGTCATTTCAGAACTATCTAAACCTGTACCAGAGCCATCTTCTGACACTATTTTTCAATCAATTGCAGATATACTTAGTCATTTAATAAGAAAAGGTCCTTATTAAGACAAGTCAAAGTTGTGAAGTCCCTGAAGACTTGGCTATCTTGGTTTAGTTATTTTAACTGTGAGCACTTGCTTACAAAGAGTGTCAGCTCAGAGATTTTGAGATTACTTTAACACAAAAACAGATCACCCAAATCATTTATCTATCCTCCTTTACTACCTACAAGGTATTTGGTCGAGGTGAACAGCCAAGAACGTTACAAGCAATGGACAACACAGTTCCTGTCAGCTGTTTAAATGCTAAAGTCTGTCTTTAAAACACCCTAAGCTTTCCTGTGATACCACACGTTGCACAAGAATGACTTTTAGTTTTAATGTGTACCGACTTCTATCAAAACATCTTTCTCTTGCCATGCAACAGGAATGCTTTCCTTCATCTTCTCCCAGTTTTTTTAGACTAGTTCTTATTTTGCACTTAGGCAGCATCTCACCATCTGCTCCATCTCTCTTTGAAACTCACAGACAGGACAAACGGGCAAGAGAGCTACTGCTTCATGATGAGGAAAGTTGTAGTCCTACTTCTGTTAAGGAAGGGACTCCCACTGAGTGCCAGACTCAGGGCAGTGTGGGAGCTGGTTTGCGGATCAAACATCAGCAACACGGCAGTGCTAGAAGCCAGTGCTTACACAGGTAAGGTAGCTCTAATGAGCAGCACCCTTCCCTTGGGAGTTACAGAGCTCTTCGCTCTCAGCGTAGAAATGGACATGCAACCTGCCTCTCCAGAGGAGAATCATCCCTGTCCCAGCAGAAAACCCGGTACTGTATCCACAGATGCAAGGAAGTATTCATCAGTGTCTTACTCCTATAGCAGGAAACGCACCTAAGCATGCTGCTTACTACGTGAGATACACATATATACTATGTGCACACGTGTGTATATATGCACATGTACGTATACTTTTATATATTTAGCACATACACATACGTAAAATTCTGTTAGATGCCAGCTTAGTTCACAAAGGCTCCAACTACATCCTTTTAACTTGTAACTGCAGATCTACAACACTGGCTGTATTCATTTTGACATTCAAGTCTCCAACTGGCATCACTGACAATTTTTCGTAAGTACTGTCTCAGTGGCCCAAATAAAACTTCATTCAAAATTGTTGGGGCACAGGGAAAGAAATACTGTTATGCCAAAAACATTCCTATTTTATAAGTACCATTATAGCGTTCCAGTGTATATCAGACCAGTGTCATTGCAGACAGTACATAACATACCAGAAAGATACTAAGTGTATATTCACAAGCCAGAATATTGTATTTCAAGAAGAAAATTTTTAAGATAGTTCTGGGCGGAAAACTACTGAACTTGATTGAGGTTAATATGTGTGTATGAATTACTGGCTTCTTGTTTTAAATAAACACATATATTCTCTTAAAGATGAATAGGAATCTTCATGCCATTTGTAACTTCCATGTATAAATACAATTTTGATTCCACTGCAAAGGATTTCTGAATGTTTATACCAGGTACATACGGGAAGGTTTATCTCCATGCAAAAGAAAAACACCTTTTCAAATGCAGAGCAAGGCTCTCCAATGGTGGATAGGAAATGCCTTAGAAGTTACCTTGCTTCCTTCTGGCAAGGAGGAGGAAAAAAAAAAAAAAAAAGAAGAATCACACATACACAGACAGAATGCAATATAGGAACATAAAATTCTTCAAGTGCCTGACCTGACAGCAATTTCACAATATCAAGAACTTCAGAGTGAGCACGACAGCCCATCTGAATGCAGACTAGGGTCCTTCTAACTCTGCATGATTTAAATCCCAATATTAATTCAAACTCAGTTAAAAGACTCAAAATCAGACAATGAAAACTCAGTGAACTCACAGTTCAGAGCTTCCCTTTCTCTATCGTCATCAACAGTTACAGACTATTTACATATTCAGTATGATTATTAGTGACATAAGCTTCTGTTAAAAAGAAAAAGATTACCTTCTTTAATGGAGTTGATTTTCTCATATCATATAGCACAATATTTCTGTCAGAAGCACAGCTTCCCAAAAGGTATGTCTAAAAAAAGAAAAGAAAAAAAGAAAATCAGTGTGTATGGTCTTCTAAACGCTTCTGGAGTATGGTTAACAGCTTACATTACATACCTAAGCTATTTCACAAAACTGGTAGTCAAATAGCTCCTTTTTCAGTCAAGGAAACACATTCATCATTCTTTCTGTGCAGCTAATTATTCAGCACAAACATTTTAAATAGCTTCCTCTATAAGATTCAGAATCCACCCAGTCCTCTCTACTTCAAAAGTAACAAGCAGTTCCTCATAAACACTTCATCTACGAAGACAGCCCAGCCAAGAGGTATATAGGAACTGCCATAGAAGAGCAAATACAATTGTTTTGTTATGGAGAGAGGTAGAAGTCCTGGTCACAGGGAGTACAGCACTGGAACAGAGAAGAGCTCCACAGCCACGTAACCACTACATTATATGATTGAGGCACAGGATATGTATTGCTGTGGGCAGAACAAAGACCACCCTACTTTTCTTTCTCCTCTCCCCCACTAACAGAGACAAAAGATAAAAAGATGAAAATATATGGTACCACATTCTAAAGCAATATAACCATAAAAATATATGTATACACCCCCCAAATATTACCACACATATCAAAATCTAAATTTGGAAAAAGCTGTTAAAGATGGTGTTAATAGAGTTTAGATCTTACACCGATCAAGAAAAATATTGATTTCCAACATATAACAGAAACATTACCTCAATGGGATTAAATTTTACACTGCTTATGCTATCAAAACCCCATGTCAGAGAACACATGGGACTTGTCCTTTGCTCATCCCAAATGTCCACTTGGTGGCCACAGGTGGCAAAAACAGCTTCCTTCCAGTGGTGATCAATTCCTGTATACACTGTCTTTAAAAGAAAAAACAAAAACAAAAAGCAAAGCAATTTACAAAACCAATTGTATACATAAATATGCAACTGTGTTCTTTTACAAAAAAGATCAACAAATCATTGCTTATCCAGTCTGACATGGTTTTATTCGTTACTGAAAACCAAGTCACCACTGCTACCAGAAACTTATCAGATGTACCCTTACACAACAGACTAGCTTTCTGTGTACTCAATGTGTACGCATGCATTTCTTGTTAATTTACAATGGAGTCAGCATTAGAAGCCCATTTACAAAGTCCTGGCTGACTTTTGAGGAAATGGAAATTTTAATGGTACAACTACAAATTTTCAATGGGGACCTAAACAGATTCCACAGACATTACAATAATTAAAGAGTTTCAAACTACCTATTTACAAAAAGCATTTAATGTTGTTCTTAAAATAAGCTTATCACAAATTGAAAGTGCTGAAGTATATATTTGTAGTCTGCTTTTGTCAGAAAGAAAGATGTAAAGTTAAAATTTTGTATTGAATGGCTGTGAGGTATTGGCATGAAAATAAAGTTATTTAATGCAGACTAAGCACTGACAACACACACCTGAAGAGAAAGACACTACAGAAAGATCTGACCAGTTCACAGGAAAGGGATGGTTAGTAGAGACAGATCTAAGCAGTCTCTGATGGCATTTGAGATATTCCTTTCTGGTTACATGTAAAATAAATGTAATAAAAACTTGAAGCTACTTTAAAAGTGCTATTATAAAATTTGATGCCATCAACTTACAACCCATTATGATAACAGGTGATGCCAAACTCTTTCTCTCTCCTTCAAAAGCTAGATAAGAATCAGTTCAAAGTTAATTCAAAAGAAGAGATGTGGGAAAATCAAAACTACCTTTCCAAGAATTGTATGGATAGGTTCTTCTTCTTCTCCATATTCCGGGCTCTCCATTTTCCACTGCTTCACAGTTTTGTCATCGCCAACCTGGAAATATTGGAGAAAGCATGTACAGATTTACATAAATATATTGTTTATTTTACTAGATGTGCTTTGCAGTTAACCACAGGCAGTCTTTCAAAAGAGAATGACCTATGACATACACAGAAGTGCTCTCTCCTACCTATTCACTGCTCCCTCTTACACCTCCAAGCTGAAGATTAGCAGTCCTTGTCATAATACTTCGCTAGAAACTGAGAAGGTACACGTGTATCTTCTGGCTAGAATGGAGTTAACATTCTTCATAGCAGCCCATATGGCATCGTGTTTTGGATTTGTGGCTAAAGCCTCTCCACTGGGAGGGGACACAGGTGCGACAGATGACCCAAACTGGCCAAAGGAGTATTCCATACCATATAACGTCATGCGCAAAAACTGGGGTAGTGGAAGAAGAAAGGGGAAGCAGGGCTGGCTTCCAAAGTGGCTGCTGCTCAGAGACTGTCTGGGGATCTGTCTGCTTGTGAAAGGAGGTAACTGATTTCCTGTTTGTCACTGTTTCCCCACCACCTTTCCTGTCCACCTATTCAACTGCCTTTACCTTGATGCATGAATCTTCTCCAGTTTTCAAAAGAGATACTTTCAGGGTCAAATAGGAAAAAGGTGAGCTATGTACTTCAGAAAAGATAAATATATAGTAACGAAAATAGCTCTTCTACACCCAGCTCAAAAGAAGCAAAACCTCAGGACACTCCAGTCTTCAAAACCAATTATTTTTGTTATATCATCTTAGAATTGTTTTAATGCAAACAGGAAGACATACTATTTCCAGACAGTTTGCATGCAACTGAATCAGTTGTGGTCAATATAAGTTAATAAAGCTTAATTAACATGGAACCATCTTGACTTAATCAGCTTATCTTTAATCACAGTATATGCAAATGATTACTTTTTTAAGTGTTTGTACATCTTTCAATGAACATAATCTATCTACTACTTTAAAATTTGAGTAAACTAGTTTTCATTAATTACATGACCATCTGTTGGCAATTTTCTGGTATTCATCCCTTCCATAGGCTTGAATAACATCCGTATCACAGCATCAAAAAAAATTTAATCAGAAATAGAATTGTCAGGTTCGCTGACAAATTTAACAAACATATTCATACAATATTTAAATATTGTATGGCAGAGAGCAAGTTGCTCACTGGAAAACAGATGGTGAACAGGCACTCTGTACTGCTAGGCTGTACTAAGGAGACACATTATACTTACAGTAAAGAATGATGTACCACAGAAGCGAGCACACATGCCTCGAACAAAGCCTTCATGGGCTTGTATAGTACGAATACACTGTCGTTTGGTCAAGTTCCAAATTTTAACCTGTTAAAAACAAAAGTATTCTGTTGATATTTAAGTTTTCTACAGTCCACAACTGCACTTCATAATTCAAGTACAAGAGATCACACATGTTGGAATGAAATGGCATAGCTGGCTTGAACACTGGCCGGATTCTATAGCATTAAAACTACTTAGGTATTCCCGTCTTGAAAAAAAAATTTTAAAGTGAGGCTCTTTCCTTCTTACCCCTTCCCCCCAACCCAAGCTGTGTATTTACTGTATTTTTGCATTCCCCTGTTTTTGAACTAGAACTCTTGCTAAAGACAGTAGCAGTAATAATTTTAGCAAAAAATACCCCTCTAAAGAGAAAAGCACAAGGAAATAGCCTTTGGAACCAACAGAATGTTTTCAGTCCAGTTGCTGTACTACATTATATATAGATGTCCACCTCTCTGAGAGGTTTCAAAACATTTGGGCCCATTTAAAAAACAAAGAAATGGAGATCAGTTTTTATATTTGTATGTATTTACAGTACCTAGTACTTTACTCACTCTTATCAGTGGATAAGAAATCTGGCCAACGTTTCGCATAAATTTACTCCCCTCCACTCTGAAAAGATTAATCTCCCTTACACTACTGCATGACATATGCACCTTTTATAAAAAGCAGAAAGCAACCAGCTACCCAGAAGACACTTTTAAAATATACAAGTAGTATGAAATGAACAAGGTAAGGGTGAGAGAGGACAGAGAAGACAGGAAAGACAGGCAATTTTTGTCTGCAATGGACTCCAGTTAAAGTGCCCTTGCTTGTAGTTTGTAATATTTATGTAAAATAATCAAACAAATACAGGGTTAGCATTTTTTAGGCAATATGATAAATTATTATTCCAAAAAGTTTTTGGTTGTGTGCCCCTTCCCCCTAGCTCATCTGACTTTGTGTAAACTTCTTAATCTGCAGCAGCTTAACTTCTTCAAGGGGAGGAGGGGGTCATGTGGGCAGCAGAAAGCAATCACTATGGACTGTAAATACTAACATTCGCTGCTCCATCCTGAGGAACTGAATGTCACACCCTCCGCTCATAGCGGGAACAGCTGAAAGCTGCTGGCTTTGCGTGCTGGGAGATTACAACCTGCAGTTTGAGAAACACTGCCCCAAACTGGGTAAGTTGCACCTTCTGAGAGAAGACAGGGTATCACACTGAACAAAGACACAAAAGAAAGGTAAGCAGGGGGCATTAAAAAAAAAAAAAACAAAACCAAAACCAAAACACTCCCACACACAGAAGAGAAAGAACAAGAAAAGAAGGAAGAAAGGTACCTTGTTTGTTGTGGTTTGTAACTGCAGCTTACCTCTCCATCACAAGCTCCAGACAGCACTGTAGACAAACTCTTTGGATGTTTGGCCATGCAATTAACTCCATCTCTGTGGCCATCAAGTGAGCTAAGAAAGGGTTTTGCAAACACACGTTCTAGCTTTGTTGCATTCAGGGCTCTTGTGTACTCCCGTGGAACCTCAAATGGATGCAATGCAGGGTCATAGTTTCTTGGAACTGCAATAAGAGTAACACACACGTTAGAAACCCATGGTATGTAGTGTAGTTCAAGGTAAGCTGAATTCAGCAGCTCTTCTCTTTGGTTTTCCTGCCATGGGAGGAATTCCTGCAACACTAAGATTTTTGCCATTCCTACTGTTTTGAAATTGGTCCATGGGATCATTAGTATGCTCACTTAACAAGCTCAAAGTTCATAAAGTCTGAAATAACTCTGAAATTATTTGATATCCTTTTCAAGGGAAGATCTGAATGTACACAAAAAACTGGAAGTTGCAGATATTTTGCAACTATTATTTAAAAAAAGAAAAAACCCACACCCTCCTACCACTAAACTCTAACATACACAAAAAGGACACTGCTACATGGACATGCACAAAGAGAGGCAATGTTCTTCATGTTTAGTCAGCTGCAAGCCAGCCCTAGGCTCAGAAATGAGGCTCATTAGTTTCACTAGCTTGCTCCTCTGCTAACGCAATCCGGTTTCCCAGACAGGAGTGTTTACATCCAACAAGCTTCAAGCAAGGGTCTCTCTGCACCTCCCTGCAGGTAAGGTATATACCTTACAATAAATTGAGAAAGACAGTGGATATTGACATTGTGCTGCTGTTTTTTCTCTCTTTCATTCTGTTTCATGCAAAAAGGTTGAAAAGTCAGTAGAGCAACTGACAACAGATAACTCATTAAGAAATTGATACTTAGTTCAGTCTGCTGGTTTCCGAAGACTATTTGATGCATATCAAAACCCCTAAAATCTCTGATGAAATGGAGTTGGGTATCACTGTAATATAGCAGAGAATTTGATTTAACAGTTTACACACAAATCCCACTTAGAAAATTAAGATGTATTCAGCCACTGTCTCAGTGGGCAAGTTCAATAATATTTTTCCATGTTATAAGTATATAACCACAATTAAATAACTAGAAGGTGTTAGTCATGACGCTACTTTGCAGAACATAGCCACCTACCTCTAATTCAATCAAATAATGAAGCGCATGCAATTTAAAATAATACAGGTCTATCGTCCTAGTTGCATTTAGTGCACCCAAGATGCCCAGAGTTTTATTCCTGTTCTTTCTGGCAAAGGGTGGCCATTTTATAAACCTTATTGCTAACTCTAGGTAGAACCTGTACCTCACTGCTGTCGTGTTACAGAGGCGAGACTGCCCGACTGTGCAAGATCAGTTCTGCGGAGGATGAGCAGAACAGAGCACGGGAAGCCATCATCTCATCTACTAGGCTACAGGTGCGCCATCTGAAAACGCGTCACACCTACTCCATTTTTGCCAGTTTTAGTTAGGGATACGCAAGAAGCAGGATGAGATGTACCGGGAGAGAAAGAGTAGTAAGCGCAAAAGATTGCTAAGAGTAACCTAGTAATACTAAGGGTAATCTCGGAGTACCAGGACGGTGACTAACCCCCGCCGACCCCCCCCGGCC